CAGAATTACTAAACAGATAATAAACATGCACACAGAATGAGGTAAACCCTTTTCTCAGGATCAGTTTGATCAAAAAAGTCTTGAATGGAGACTACCAGACAGGCTTTACTAAAGACAAGTGTACACTAAACATATCCTTAGTAACACAGTTTCAGTAAAGAACTGTCAGAGCATGGTTTTTTTTTTAAGCTTATGAACAAAAAAACCTTATACTTCATTCACATCAAGTCACATTGTTATCAGTTGAATTGTGTCCTCCTAAAATTAAGTAGAAGTTCTAACTTCTTAATACCTCAGGATGTGAACTTATTTATAAATAGACGTATAGTAAATGTAATTAGTTAAGCAAGAATGAGATCATCCAGGAGTAGATGAATCCTTAATGGAATAGAACTGATGTTCCCATTGAAAGGGAAAATTTAGACACAGACACAACTTAAGGGTAATCACCATATGAAGATGAAGGCAGAGCTCAGGGTGTTGTGTCTATAACTGTGGAATGTCAAGGATTGTTGGCAAAGCCTAGGAAGCCAAGAAGAGGCATGGAAAATATTCTCCCTCACAGTTCTTAGGAGGGACCAACCCTGCCAACACCTTGATCTCAGACTTGTAGTTTCCAAATTGTGAAACAGTAAATCTCTGTTATTTAAGATACCCAGTTTGTGGTACTTTTTAAATGATTGTCCTAGGAAACCAATACATGTATTATAAGTTTTGTGGGGGTATAGTTTTTTTTTTGTTGTTTTTTTTAATCATGGAAAAGTAGACACACATGGTCCCTCATTTCTACTGTAAAATAGTATCTTTATTGATGTCCCCATGCCAAAGATGAAATTCACCTGTTGTAGAATCAAGTTGAGTTTATTGGCTCCATACAAGGAGGAAACAGCATATCATGAGGAATCTAGGGCCATTTTGGCAAGTAGGTTTTAATAAAGGCTTGATAAAGGATTTGGGCTGATGTTTAATGACTTTAGAGATAGTTCCACAAAGTTTGATCTTCACTTATTGAGGGTTTCAAAGTGAGGTACTTTAAAAATTGTTATCTAAAAGTTGGGAGGAAAAGATTAGGTTAAAGCTGTAACTGGTAAAGACTTAGCACAAGTGGTAGAAAAGAAGGTTGTTAGCCATTTTGTGGTTTAGACAGCTATCTTGCTTAGTCTGTGCTCAGACACGAGTGTGGAGTGATCTTTTTTTAAATTTTTCTTAATGAACACAGACAGACCTTATCTGCTATCGGTGTTCTATGAAATTATTTCTGTTCAATAGAAAAACACCACAGCCACATTGCAGAGCCAGTCCTGCTCAGCCGACACTAGGGAGAGGTTGCTTCATTCTCTTCACTCCATTTACTCACAAAATAGTTCCCTAGCATGAAGAAGTAATAAAAATAATTTTATTTGTACATATTTAATTAGGCAAAGAAAGAAAATCATGAGTACAGATGTTAAAGTTTTATTTATTCATACTTGAAGGTGTGCTTTTTCTAAAGAATAATGAAAATTTTCTGACAGAGTAAATTATAAAATTAGAATTAAAATAATTACTTTATGTGTTTGAATTTCACCCAAACAGGGGATCTGTTTTCTCAGAATAAATACATAAGTAAATAAAATTTATAGTTTCCAATTTATGATTAGTATTTGTAAAAATACCTCTATCACATCTGCCATTAGTTAATTATTTCTAAGGGTTCTGGAGAAAATGTGATTGTTTCCACTGCTTTCTATCTTACTGATCAAATAAGTTTGCACAACTTAGGTAGTATTTGGGCAGTTGGGAAGGAGATAAAGGAGGAAAAAATAGTATCTCTCCATTAAAATTATGGCTCAGTTTTCACTAATCTATATGAAATTTCTGGATAATAGGCAAAAGTAGTCATCTCTGGTCTCTTTTATAATGCATAAACTACCATCTAATGTCCATTACCATTTAATATCCATTAAAGATTTACATTGTTAGCTGACCCTTCTGTTTAGTAAAATGCACTGCTTTTTTCTTATGATTTGGTTAATAGGTTCATAATGAGTTTTATAAAGATGTAAAGAAATTTAGGACACATCTTTAATACATGCAGGTATGCTCTATGGAGAACTACTCGGTTTGTTCACTACACATCGCTTGATATCAATGTAGAGGCAGAATTTATACTGTCTGTTTTAGTCCTATCATGTTTTTGTTGCAGATTACAGAAATTGAATGACTTAATTTCTACTTTTCTTATCTATAAGATGAATACTGCTATGCTTTTATTTCTGTCATCTATATATCCAATATGACAGCTCCTATATAGAAATGTAGTGTTTAACCTATTATTGGCTGACTTTTAATACTACCATGTTTTCATAAACATCCAAATTCTGATATCACTTAAAAAATTTTAAACAGCAATTTTTGTGTTTAACTAAATTATTATAAAGAAAAAATTAATCTATAGCTTCTATATGAAGCTATATTTAGCATTTTTGTAAATATTTACATCCATTTTGAGTCTTTAAAATAGTACTTTTTAAAGAAATTCAACATTATTATAAATAACTTGATACTGAAGGTGAGTCATACACTTTAAAGTAGCATACTAGTCTGATGTAAATTTCAATTAAAGGAAAAATATAGTTCAAGTAAATGCACATATCTATTGTCAACACAATGTCAATGGGAACCTCAGCATTTGTGATTTTCTTAATTGTTGACATTATTGTAAAAGGAAACTAACAAAACCACCTTTTTAAATTTTCCCACCATGCAAATAAAATGCGTATTATCTTAGTTTTGAACTTTAAGACAATATCATTTTCAGAAAAAATAAAACCTTAAGAAAAAAGAGATATTATACACACACACACACACACACACACACACACACACACACACACACACACAACTAGGAAATAAAATGTGATTTTCAGCGTGGAAAGCCAAATTATACTTCTTTATCTCTTTTTTTGGTGACAGTGTCTCGTTCTGTGACCCAGAGTGGAGTGTTATTGTTGAATCGCTCACTGCAGCCTCCACCTTCTGGGCTTCAGAAATCCTTGGAATTCTACCCAATGAGACATTGACCACGTTTACCTTGTATGACACTGCATGATTTATTAGCCTATTTGAACCCTTCATTGTTTATAACTCATCATCTAGCACAATGCTTCCCACATGTTAGGGATTCACTGCATAATTGTAGAATGACTCAATATAAAAATCAGTGTGATATGGAGGTACAATGTATTTATGTGTATCCTGCAAAAGAGATTATCAAGAGTGTTTTCTCAAATGTGAGCATGAATTATTGTTCAGCTACACAATAGATTATGTACATGAAATTATTTACAAAGTGACAGTTAAATTAACTTCCCACTAGCAAAGCAAAACACCTAGTCTCATAATTAAATATTTAGAAGTAGGTAATTAGAAAACAAAAGTATGAAGAGTACTTTTTGTTAAGGACAATTTATATTTTGTGCACATGTGGCAGTTGTTTATTCAGTGCAATTTACTTTATTTTACAAATAAAAATTCCCTATGATAAAATAGTATCCGCAAATGCACCCTTTGTAGTACATTTCATTCTCATAATGATTTTAGGACAAGAAAATGGTCTTGTTTCTATTTGAATTCTCCATACTACTTAGCATACCTCTTGCAAAAAGTAGCCACTTAATAGACTTTTTTTATTATTGAAGGAAATCTTTATTTTTATGTTCTTGGGAAGTAGTTTTGTATTTTTACTCTTTTTTTTTTTTTTTTTTTGCTATACTTGGAGACTGAAGTCTGGAGTGTCTGTTCCATTTGGTTCAGATTTTATAGTTCTTATTTTATGGACACTAATCATATCGTTCTGGTTTCCTTCCTGTACACATTGCTGATGTCCTCAGCAGCTTCTAGGTAGGCTCTCTTACCTTTTTATTTCTTGTGGTCAGAATTAGGAGAATACAGATTTCCTGAGGTTTTTAACTTTTTCAAACTGCCACTGTCATTCTCTACTTTGAAAACATCATCCAGCAGTTTATCTCACCCATGCCAGCACTGGCATATCTCTCCTTCCTCTCTTCTTTTTCTAATAAATTTTGTTTTAAAACTTGAGAAAAAGAAATAAAATAAGACATCATCCCTTAGCCTAATTCTTTCTAAGATGCTCTTGCCCATCTAGTTGTAAAATTACTAAGAAAACCCAAGCAGTTCAAGGACTTAATGAGCTGTATATTTTCTTCCTTAAAGTATTGTCAGGCACTTTTAGAATCTCTGTGCATAGAAGTATACATTTTAGTGGAAACATGCTACCAATTAAGTACCTTCCAAATAACTAATATCTTAATATTTTTACCATGACCTGAAAATCGACACCCAAATAATCATTTTACTTTGATGAACAAGTGTGTGCTGCTTACACTTCACTTCTTGTTGATGTGGAGTCCCGCGGATCAAGCCATCCCATTACTTATCTTGAAACACGTGAGTTCATTTGACACAATAGGAATCACTTTATCTAGTTATATCTTCTGACTGAAACATAAAACTTATTTCCAGGACTGATGAGTTCCTATTAAGATTAAAGGCTTATTACAATGTTCTTTTTTCATTGTTTACTTGTTTTGAGGATAGCAACAAATCCATCAAGCAAAGTTTGTATAGTGGTAGCAATCTCCAGGATACCGAAAATAAAACACATGCAGCATCAAACATTAATAACGTACTCTCTTAATGGTAATGTCTTTCAGAGAACATTGTTGAACAAGAGGTGGGAAAAAAGAAGAAACGAAATAGAATTTTTTAAAATACTGGCACTTAACATTGCTGCCTGCAGGTACTTTGTTAGATGAAGCATAAAAATCATAAATAACACTTATTTCTTCAACTGTAATGTAGAGAGAGAGTCTCAGTGATAATATGAAAGAGAATAGAGACTAAATTCGGCATTTATGCCGAAGTATGTCAGATAAATGATATAGTGCAGGAATTGGCTCACAAGATAAGCACTGATACATTGATTCCTTCCTTTCCAGGTTCTCACTGTGAATTTGGGCCTTGTGAGGCGAGTCATCCTTGTGAGCATGGAGCTGCGTGTAGAGAGAAAATGGACCTTAAAGTGCTTCCCCTTGGATTTCAGTGCCAGTGTGGGAAAGGCTTTGAAGGTTCACGCTGCGAGATCAATGTGGACGAATGCAGCTCGAACCCTTGTCTGCGTGGATACTGCTATGACTGTGAGTTCCTTCAGCTGCTTCAATTATTGTGGAGCGGAATGACCAGAATCTGATGTGGTCACTCAGGCTATAACCATGACTGTACACTGACTTCAGCTTGTCTTGAGTGTCAAATCTAATGTCAGTTATTCTCATCAGGCACCCAATTTCTGGCTAATTCATTTACAATTTTGTGGATCACAACTGTAGAAAATGAGGAGTTTTAATGATATGTGACTCATGTTTTACTGTAAGAATGAACATTATTTTTCCTTATTTTAAATGGTAGAATTTTTAAAGTACTCATTTGTAGGCATAGGGAAACATTGTTTACAATATTTAAAATAACATTATTTTGCCCCTCTATTATACACACATATATATACATATATGCACACATATTTCTCCCTACTAAAATATATATTCTTGAAAAGTATATAAATAAAAGAGGAAGAAGAAGAAAACAGGGAAAAAAACAGAAGGAAGAAAAGAAGGAAAGAGGGAAAAGAGCATTGAATACTGAAACATAAATTTTCCTGTAGAAGAACAGGCTTAAAATAAATAATTTTTGTCAAGACACAAAATAATGAAATGACATTGTGCACCAAATGTGGTTAAGGGCAGGAGGAGAAAAAGAAAGAAAAATTTAGAATGGTGTTTAAAAAATTTTCCATCTTATCTTCCTTAAAATATATTTCTACATGATCCTGCAGTAAATGAATAAATGGTAAAAATAATATTATGTATAAAACCCATTTCCGCAGAAAGTCATATTATTGTCATTTTATTTAGAAATACTATAATTTAACTCAAATTATGAATTTCTTTTTCTTAAAACCGATGCTCTGCAAATGTATGCCAATATGGAGGCAAAGACTTTATTATTTTTTTTTTAAGAAAGCAGGATTTATTGAGAGGACAGAAAAGCTGTCACAGTGGGAGGGGACTTGAAGGGGTTACCCCAGAAATTTTTTAAATTGGGTGAAGCAGCCCAGATGAAAGACAGCAGGTAGTGTTGGGGCCCTAGCAAACTGGAATGTCTGTAGAGAAATTAACACAAAATTAATTTTTCTACACTGAGGCAGCAAAGCAAAACAAATCTGTGGGCTGTGTGTCATCTATTTTCTACTCCTGATGTAAACCACCATTATCATTTTTTTTTCCTTCAGATTTTGGAACTTTAAAGATTGTGTTTTTCAGTTTCTGAAATTCTCAAATTAGCTTGAATTAAGTCTGTATTATATTATTTCTGAGCTCAAACCCACAGGTGTTTAGTTGCTAGAAATGACTCTCAAATTCCTGGTGCTCACTATAAAATAAATATGGCAGAATGATACACCTAAGAGAAAGATTAAAGATTTTGTTTTGCATATCTGTGCAGCCCTACTATAATGGTTAACTAAAATTGTCCATATATCTTAACAATATAAGCTATTTTACTTTTATAAGGGTTTCATAAATATTTTAATGTGTAATTTATTCTAAGATAAGAAAGTGCAGTTTCTAAATATGTTACATATAATGCTACCTATTAGCATTGGCATACCATAAAAAGTTATGGAAAATGTAAATTTTGAAAACCTTATATATTCATGTATTTCCTAGTAGAATTATTTATAATATTTTGGACTTCACCTAAGGGTATTTAGCTACCAGAAAGTCAAGATGTTTGTTCAAAATTAGATCGTGCATGTAAATTGTGATGAGACTAAATCTCAGACACTAGATTATTTTTATTTTATTTTTTATTTTTTTAATTTTAACTTTTATTTTTTTGAGTTGGAGTCTCACTCGGTCACCCAGACTGGAGTGCAGTGGCCGCTCCCAGCCGCCACTGCTGGGCTCCAGCGATCCTTCCGCCTCAGCCTTCTGAGTAGCCGGAATTACAGGCATGCGCTACCACGCCCGGCTGATTTTTTGATTTATTGTAGAGATGAGGTCTCGCTGCCCAGGCAGGTCTCGAACCCGCAGGCTCAGGCAATCCACTCACCTCAGCCTCCCAAAGGCTGAGCCACCGAGCCCGGCTGACACTAGATTCTTAACACTTTCACTAAAATAAAATAGTTTGGGAAACCAAACTGTTTGAATTCAAGTTAATAGGATTTATTACATGACTATACATGAGAAACCATTATATATATATTATATGCTATGTATTATATATATGTATGAATCTGTAAATCTCAAACACCATTGTATGGTTGTTCACCATTTTTGTGATATGTTATCAAAACATTTCTATATTTTGCCACAAAGTTTTATCATATATCAAATTTTCATTCAGGACAACCAATGTATGCTATTTGGTGCACATTTAAGTATAGAATGAGTAATAAATTCAGATTCCTAAAGGGTCTATTTTAAGATAATTTGGACTTAAAATAGTAATATGGAATATTTATTAACAGAGACTGACACAAATACAGTGACTGGATTTTCTGGTTAACAATGTGCTTAAAATGTATTTCTTATAAAATGATTGTTAGTTATTATATAGTCCCTAGTTAACAAATTAAATATAGGGAAATATCTCCATTGTTTTGTTTCTTTGTTGTAAATATGTGACAGGCCAGGCATGGTGCTCAGCCTGTAATTCCATCACTTTGGGAGTCCGAGGTAAAAGGATTGCCTGAGCCTAGGTGTTCAAGACCAGCCTGTGCTACTTGGTGAGATCTCATCTCTACAATAAATCACAAAAATTAGCCAGGTGTGGGGGCGTGCATCTGTAGTTCCAGATACTTGGAAGGCTGAGGCGGAAAGATCGCCTGAGCCCAGCAGGTCGAGGCTGTGGTGGCTATAAGTGTGCCACTGCACTCCAGCCTGGGAGACAGTAAGACTCCTTCTCAAAATAAATAAATAAATAATTGAACAATTGTGTTTTTTTATTTTCCTTGCAGTATCCAATTTTCCTTTAGTATTCAATATAATCTCCCAGGTTCTATTCTGGCATATGGTTACTAGCTTTTTAGTCCCAAATATTCAACATTTCTTGACAATAAAAACATGCTTTATTTTTTAACACCAATCTCTGTTTTCCACACTGTTAATTTAAAGTGACCTTTGTCATCATTTGCCTTTAAAAATAATATGATTCATCTACACAGAACATTTGCCATCTATGCTGAAAGTTAATTTGACTCTAGTTGTTTGTTACTTGCTAATATGCATCAGTATTCACACTTGAATTATGATTGATGGCATGCCACTGTTTCTTAATGACGTACTGTATGGCATGTGGTTTAAAATACATAACGCCATGTGTAACATATAAAGAAGCACAGATTGCCACCATTTTATCACATTAATTTATTTACAATTATACCTATTGATTTATCAACCATTTATATTCACTGAAAAGTTAAAACTAGATGGTAGATGAAAAAAGAATGTGAATCAGAAGTAAAATCCTGTCTAAAGAACTGTCACTTCTGTGTTTTTCACCCGTCTCTTGCTGATGGCAATGGCCTCCTTGTTCTTCTTTGAAGCTCCAGTTATACGTGCCATGCAGAAACATGGATGCCAAATCTAGAAGCTAACTGAATTCCTTACAATGTATTAGAAAGGCTGTTGCCACTGAGGGCCTAAACATTTAATGAGAGTAATGGGAGGTTCATGCACAGAGGCAGAGTGGCAGTGTAGACTATGCAATCAATCAGGGGATAACGAACAATCCAGGAACTGACTACGAGTGACCATAAATCCATGCTTGCTTCAAATGCAGATTTTAACTGTTACCATTTTCTGTGGCTGCTCAAATAACATTCTTTTTCACCATTAATGATAAAATAAAGGACAGAGTCTGATCATTATTTTCATAAGATTATGATGAAATGTGAAAGCTCTTTTTCACTAAGACTTAAGCAGTTCACTATCAACTTACAGATCACTTTACACTTTAATATATCTTGTCGTATATAGAACTATAACAGCCAAACAGTTAACTTCCTGTTTATTAAACCTATAACAATCTGGAAAAGTTAAATGATGCAAAAGTAATCTATTTATCATAAGTCTCATGGAATGCCAACAAGAAGAGAAAGCAAAGAAAATTGAATATTTTTATTGTTGCTTTGCAAATTGTTACCAAATATCCATTGTAATTTTCTTTTAGTTGGAATTTAAGCTGAATTGAACTGAATAAGATATGCAGAAAATACTGTAGATGACTGCATAAGAGTATTGAATATAAAAACTCACACATTCTTTGGTTAAAAGTGAAATGCATAGCTGATTATAGCATTCTAGGGTATTTAGCAATACCTGTACTGTGTTGAAAGGAATGTTAAGAGTTTTCTCTTCCCTGTTGTTTCCAGTGGTTGATGGCTTTTCCTGCTTGTGCAATCCAGGCTATGTTGGACTGAGATGTGAACAGGACATTGATGACTGCATCCTGAATGCCTGTGAGCACAATTCCACCTGCAAAGATCTGCATCTTGTTAGTATCCACTGTTCTTATTAATTTGCCTTAATATGAACAACGTAATCTGACCCCTACAAAATAGTGATCTTTAGCCTATGTATCATATTGGTATATTCCCATACATGTGCATGCATCTTAAGGTTAGGAAGCAGAAACTCAAGCAACTTTTAAAAAATAAGAAAAAAACTTAATAGTAGCAAAAAATGTTCTGTTCTCCACTTTATAGAGATTGGTTTAAATATTGTATAACAAATAGTTCACTCATTGGGTTCACTACAAGACAATATTGAATTTGTGTAAAACTTCAGAATTTTTTTCTAAAAAATGCTGTGAGTCTTATAGCCACCTATTTTTTTAAGCCTAACTAAAGGCATTATATTCACATTTATTTCTGTATCATTCATCATATTAAATTTTCCTTTTACTTCTATCTCCTATAGTCCATTTCCATCATTCCCTTCACTCATCTGTGTTGTTGTTGTCCCTTCAGTGAAGATGCATTTGTCATTGTCTTTGTCACTAGCATGTGCCATTCTGCCTTAAACGGACTGTGACACAGTTGGCAAATCAATGGGATCCCTTCAGGCTCCTCATTTCTCAGAAAGTCTGACATAAAAAATACCTACTCAAGGTGGCACTCACTAGCTGTCTTCAGAAAATAAATGATATATAACACATGTTGATGCAACGATACTAATACAGGCTTGGAGTTTATTCTTTAGTAACAGAACTGATTATCACAAAAGGACTACACTAGAGAAAATCAGAAAACAAAGCTCTGAAAAACAAATCTGTTTTCATCAACATTTTGACTACCAGTGCACTGATGTTGTTTGTTTTTACAATGAAAGGATAATTTGTGGTATATTGCTTCCCCCCTCCAAGGAAAGCAGACATCTAAAGAAATAATTATAAAACTCAAATTTTGTATATGTATCATCAGAAAAAGGATAATCTACAGGTTATCTAGCCACTGTTCAGGTATGGGTAATTGTCTGGATGCTTTATCTTGCGTAAGACCAGACACTATATTATGTCAGTCATGCCAATTTATTCCATTCTTGAACATTCCTTTAGGAATGATCATATGATCCTATACTGATCTCTGAGAAAAGGAAGGAGTTCTTTCTGAGGAAAGGTTTACTCACCCGCACGTAGAATGTAAGGAAGAGGTAGGTATGACCTCTCCTAGACCTTCTCACACTTCGATCTCTGCATATAGCAGCTGTTGCCATTTTCAGAGCCCACATCAGGATGTGGCGAGTGGGGTGGGAGTGGGGCGTGAAAATGTAGTCTAATGAGCACCCTGAAGAAAGCATAGCTGTTTTTATTTATTTATTCATTTATTTAAAGATGTGGAGTACAATTCAGGATTAGGTATACGGATGGTCATTTTATAGGTAAAGTTTGGGTCTGACTTTGGTCCTCACTTTGCCTGGTTTCAGATCAGGTACCCTTATTGATGAAGTGTGCCACCCCATCCCATGGTAGTGTTCCACTAGTGCTAATATCTTTCTTATAGTATTATGATCATTGCTCAGGGTCTGCTTATCAGTGAGAACATGTGGTACTCAGTTTTTTTTTTTCCTGTGATGGATCACTTGGTATTATAGACTCTAAATCCATGCAAGTTGCTTCAAAATTCATAATTTTGTCCTTTATAGCTGTGTAATATTCCATCATGTATATGTTTCTTATTTTTTTAGCCAGTGTACTTTTGATAGGCAACACATATGGCTCCATGTTTTTGCTACTGTGAATAGTGCTGCAATAAACATGCATACGCAGGTATGTTTTTATAGAATGATTTTAGTTCCTCCGGGTATATTCCCAGAAGGGGGATTGCTGAATCGTATGGAAGGTCAATTGTTAGATCTTTTAGGAATTTCCACATATTTTTGACAGAGGTAGTACTAATTTAAACTCCCACCAATCATGTAGAAGTATTCCTTTTTCCTCTCATCCTCTCCAGCATCTGTTGTTTTTTGAGTTATTGATGATGGCCATCCTGATTGGAGTTAAGTGGTATCTCAGTGTGCTTTTAATTTGCATTTCTTTAAGGATTAGTGAGGTTGAGCATTTTTTCATGTATCTGTTAGCTACTCGTATGTCTTCTTTTGAGAGGTGTCTGTTCGTATATTTTGTCCACTTTTTTAACAGGACTTTTCTTTTCTTTTTTTTTTTTTGGCATCTTTGAGTTCCTTGTAGATTCTAAATGATAGACCTTAGATATACAGTTGGCAAATATTTTTTTTTCCCATTCTGTGGGCTGTCTTCCAGCGCTCTTGATGGTTTCTTTTGCTTTGCAGAAGTTTTTCAGTTTGATGAGGTCCCATTTATCTATCTTATCTCTTAGAGCATGGACTTTTGGGGTTTTGATCAAGAAATGGTTGCCAGTTCCCATTTCCATAAGGGTGTCTTCTGCATTTTCTACGGTTCTTGTAGTTTGAAGTTTTACGTTTAGGTCTTTGATCAATTTAGACTTGATATTTGTGTATGGTGATAGTTAGGGGTCTTGTTTTAATTTTCTTCAGGTGGTTAACCAGTTTTACCAGCTTCACTTACTGAATACGTTCTCATCCTCCCAGTGGTTCTGAATACGTTCTCATCCTCCCACTTTGTCAAAGTGACTTGGCTGAGAAATTAAGGTTTTGCTTCTGGAATCCCTATCTTGTTTCATTTGTCTATATGCCTGTTCTTATATCAATACCAGGCCATTTTGTTTATTGTTGCCTTATAATAAAGTTTAAAGTCTAGAATTGTGATACTTCCTGCTTTGTTTCTTTTGCTGAGGATTGTACTGACTTTTTGTGGTCATTTATGTTTCCATATTAATTTCTGTATTGTTATTTCCAGGTCTGAAAAGGATGACGTTGTCAATTTAATGAGTATTGTGTTAGATCAGTAGAATACCTAGGGTAGAATAGACATCTTAACAATATTGATTCTTCCATTAAATGAGCATAGAATATTTTTCCATTTGTTTGTGTCATCTCTGATTTCTTTGAGCAATGTTTTGTAGTTTTCATTATAAAAGTCTTTCACTTCCCTGGTTAGGAGGATGCTGAGGTATTTTATTTTTTGTTGTTGTTGCTATTGTGAGTGGATTGTGCCTTTTATTTAGTTAGCTGCCTGTTTGTTATTAGTGAATAAGAATGCAGCTGTCTTTTACATGTTTATTTTGTACCCTGAGACTTTGCCAGAATCCTTTATCTGTGCAAGAAGGTTTTGACAGATTCCCTTGGGTTTTCAAGGTATAGAGTCATACTGTCAACAAAGAGGGACAACTTGACTTCCTCTTTTCCTATTTGGCTACTCCTGATTTACTTCTCTTTTCTGATTGCTCTAGCAAAGACTTCCAACACTATTTTGAACAGGAGTGGTGAAAGTGGGCAGACTTTTCTTGTTCTGATTTTTAAGGGAAATGCTTTCAATTTCTGTTTGTTTAGCAATATATTGACTGTGGGCTTATCATAGATGGCTCTTACTATTTTGAGGCATGTTCCCTCTATTCCTAGGTGTTCAAGGATTTGGATCAGAAAAGGATGCTGGATTTTGTCAAAAGCTTTTTTCTGTGTCTAATGATATATTATATGATTCCTACTTTTGTGTCTGTGGATATATTTAATTACATTTATGGTCCTGTGGGTATTGAACCAGCCTTGCATCCCAGGAGTGAAGCCTACTTGGTCATGGTGGATGATTTTTGAGATGGGTTCTTGGATCCAATTTTCTAGAATCTTGTTGAGTATCGTTGTATCTATGTTCATCAGGGATATTGGTCTGCAGTTCTCTTTCTCTGTTGGATTTTTACCTGATTTGGGTATCAGTCTAATGATAACTTAATAAGATGATTGGGGAAAGTCTCTTTCTCAATTGCCTGGAATACTTTCAATAGGATTAATATCAGCTCTTCCTTGTATGTTTTGTAGAACTCTACTAGAAAGCCTTCTAGTCCAGGACTTTTTTTGTAGGTCATTTTCTTATGATTGATTCAATTTCCTGGAATATTTTTCATCTATTTAATGTCTCAATTTCTTCTTATTTCAACCTTTAGAGGTGGTGTGATGTCAGAAAGTCCTCCATTTCATTGAGATTATCAAGTCTGTTTCCATAGAGGTGTGCATATTAATCTCTGATAATTTTTTCTATCACTTTGGTGTCTGTTGTTATTTGATCTTTTGCATCCCTAATTATGTTTTTTTTTCTTTTTCTCTCTTTTTCTTTATTAATATAGCTAGAGGTCCATCAATTTTGTTTATCCTTTCAATGAACTAGCTTTTTGTTTAATTGACCTTTTTTCTGTGATATTTTTGTCTTCTGTGTCCTGCATTTGGGGTTTTATTTTGGTGATCTGGATTCTTGTGCTGAAGTTAGAGTTTTGGTGGTCTTGTCTTTTCATCTTCCTTAGGTGATTGCTCAGGCTGTTAACTTGTGATCTTTCCATTTTCTTGAGGTGTGTTGGTAAAGAAATGAATTCCACTCTCAGTACGGCTTTCATGGCATCCCAGAGGTTTTGGTAAGATGTGTGTTTATTTTCATTTGTGCCCAGAAATTTTTTACTTTCTGCTTTGATTCCATATTGGCCCAGGAGTTATTCAGCATCATGCTCTTTAATGTCCATGTCTTTGTCCATGTCTTTAATGTCCATGGTTTTGGAGAAGCTTTGTTAGTGTTAATATTTATTTTTATTCCACTGTGGTCTGAGAAGGTGCATGGCAGTATTTTGATCTTATGGAATTTGTTTATGCTTGATTTATGTCTGAGAATGTGGTCGATCTTGGAGTGAATTCCACTGGTGATGAGTAGAATTTATATTCCATGGTTATTTGGTGGAGTGTTCTGTAGGTATCTATTAAGCCCATTTAGTTAAGTGTCAAATTAAGATTCCAAATGGCTTTGTTGAATTTTTGCCTAGATGATCTGTCTGGGGCTGTTAGGGGAATATTTAAGTCCCTAGCTATGTTAGTATTAAGAGTCAATATCTTTTTTTAGCTTATCTGGAAGCTGCTTTA